TACTGTCTTGGCTGTGTGCCAAGGGAATAGCCTTACAAGCAGCATGCCAGTCTTGACCGGAGTTACGTTTTTTTGCCAGCTCCCAGCATTTGCCGTTCCATGCTCGAGATTTGAGGGAGTGTATTGGTATTGTTTAAACAACATCAAGGTTTGGCTGAAGAACATCTCACCAGACTACACAGGGGCGCTGTTCTCCTAGTTTGGCAGGCGGTTGCAACAGTTTTGTGAAACTTTTAAACATTTGGAGGGTATGGCGCTGCCCTAACATTCGTTGGGGGTCAAGTTTGTTCAGTCCACCATGGCATCACGACTCACGCAAAGGGCTCCACTAATTAAAAGAAGGACCCGCTCTCAGAAAAAAAGTCTCACGATTGGAATGGGAACTGTAGATGTGTCCAACTGCTTCCCCGGCGGTTCATCAATCACATATCCCAGAAAGGAAGATCCAAAACCTGACAATGACTCAGCCCCCCCAAAAAAAAAATCACGGATGTTTTGAGGAAACAGGGTTCAATGGCTCAAAATGGCTCTTCAAAACCCCCAAAAAGAAGACCCAGTGCTTTGAGAAACAATCAAGTTTCCTGGACGCAGCTGCAGCTGTTTGACTCATGACGGCAGGGGCCCTTTTGTGACCCCAGCACACTGCGCAGCCTGCGTTTTCACTCCAAACATTGTTCTCAGCTTACTACTGCCCTAGCAGATTGCACAGCGATGTGACCTGCGCGACTATGCGGTCCAGATCTGTGCCAACCTCGGCCATCAAGTCCTCGCAGGGTTGAACCGCTACCCCAGACTAAAAAGAAATGGAGGCAGTGTTGAGAATTCCAAATTCGTTGTCTCAACCCAGGGTCCTCTGGCTTTCCAAACATTGCCGCCCAAATTTGCTTATGGGAAGCACGTGCGGGCACCCCAGAACGAAGCGAAGTCCACCGCATTGTCTTCCAGACTATGAGGGTGACCGAGCAAAACTTCTTTGTGTAAGTGGCGGACGAAGCAAGATGTGGGCCGCCCGTCACCCAAGTCTTTGACTTGTCCTTTGACAGGCTCTTGAAGTGGAAGTTCTGCACATGGAGTTTCTTCTGTTTCGCACGCGCCCAAAACTTCACTGCGGTCCGGCAAACACTGCGTTTGTACACCCACAACCGCGCAGTTGCACGGTTCTCCATGAGACCATCGTTCAAAATCTTTTTCCACTGCATCTCAATCTCAAAGTTCCATTTGCGGTGCAAAGGCAGCATGAACTTCTCGGGGATGTTGGAGAAAATCACAGTGGGTTTTGGGAGCGCGTGGCCAAACGCTCGCATGTAGGTGTGGCATCTCGAAGCCCGCACATAGGCCAGAAATCGGGCCATTTCCGGGAAGATCCAAAGGACCGACGAAGCTGGCTGTTCTATCCTTACTTCAATCCACAATTTGCCAACAGGCAGAATTCTCAATGGGAAGGGTTGCGAATTTTGAGACAACGTAGCCGTGGTAGATGCAATGTGGGGCTAAATCAAAACTTCCTTGGCTTTGCTCAACTGGTCTAGCTGACTTGCCCGTTGAAGGCCCCTGATCAAAGAATTTCAAACCTACAATAAGTTGACACTCAACGACGAGAAACTAAATCTTTTGCCGGAAGGTGCTCTGAGCCACATCCAAAATAGGTTCCGGGACTCAGCTACCGCTAAGAGAACCATGAAGTTGATGACCAACTGGTTGGCGTCCCTGATCTTCTCGCTTGCCTGGTTGCCGTAGGGAAACAGGGGCGTTCTGCGGTGAAAGCAGCTGGACAAGAACACAAAGAGGCCACAAGGCGGTCCACATAGCAGGATTCCAAATTCCGCCTCGGAACGGTAAGGGGCAACGGGCAAAGGTTTGTGGGGAGGGAGGTTGAAAAAACAGGCTCGAAAGCTCAAAGTTCAGGCTATACCAGAAGCAAGGGGCCACTGCCAACACCAAGCGTAGCGTTGCGTTGAAGCCCTGGGCGTGCAAAAGGTTCTGCCCAACTGGATCCCTCTTTAGCTCCACGCCTTCAGATCTGAGGTTCTGTTCCCGGCAAGCCTTCTCGAAATTCCCCTCCCCAGCAAACAAGTCTAGCGTGTCCAAACTGCGCCCCTGCCCGGAAGCGTCATACGCCTGGATGAAGCTGTTCACTTTGTCAAGGTTCTGGGAGGCATCAAAGGTCTCATCATTGGGCTGAACAACCCGCACATGTAAGCCGCCTCCTGAGGCGATCCGAGCTGCCGAGCTCGAGCTCATGGTCAAGGCTCGAGCCAGCTCGAGGGGATATTTTGCATTTGAGAACCTTTTGTTCCTGGATGCGTTTTGCTGAAACATAGACCTCGCTTGTTTTCCAGAAAAATTGGGCCATTTCTTAGGATGCTGCACATGCAGTTGGCAATCATGGTCCTGGCTGGCAGCGCCCGTGACTGTTTTCCAAACATCAAAAAACACATTTACACACAGACACACCAGCTCAACCAAAACGCTCAAACAACATCAGACGCTTTTTTGACCAGAGTTTCTTCACGGCTTCGAAATTCTTGCGGTGAACCATTTGGAACTTGAAGTGGAGCGCATTGTACCATGTTCGGCGATGACAGGAGCGGGCAATCTTGGCAACTATCCCGTTGAATGTTTCATCTCTGTACGTGCTGTAGTACTTTGCATTGCCTTTGGCAAGGGAGTTCTGAATCAAATGATGCATTAAATTGCATTTTGGTAGCACGGGGCCGCCCGCTTTCTCGTACAACGCCAAAAACCGATTGTATGCCTGCAAGGAGGCCGTCACTTGTTCCGGTGACATGAGGCGCCCCTCGGTCTTCAGAGAGCGCCCAAACTCGATGGCTGACTTGGTTGACTGCTGCAAGAGCTTTGCCTTCCTGTGTTTCGTAGCCGGTTCGTGCGCAAATCGTGGAAGTAGTTTCTGCAGCATGTGATGAACAAAATGCAATAGCCCTTGAGACTCAGCAGCCTTGGCCTTCAGAAACGGATGCTCGGCAGACCCGATCATAGACTCAGTGAGGTTCCAAACCTTGACTGCAAGCTGCTTCGTTGAAACAAGAAAGGACCACTGTTGAAGACTTTTGAAAACAAACATAAGCTAGAAGCTGTTACAAATTACGTCGAGTCTCCTCCGTGCCTTTAGCTAGCCACTCTGGGTCCTTGCGCTGTTCCTTGTACCACTGAAAGAGCTCAGCTTTGATGGCCATCAAACCAACTTTCTTTTGGTCTTGGGCGTTCAGAAACAACGTGTTTGGGTTCAAAATACCCGCGTCTAAGAAGCAGTGCAAGGACATGGACACAAGTTGTTGCATCGGTCCCAAATGCCATGTGTGCATGAGGTCGATTGAAAAAGTGTGTAGGCCCAGCCCCTTCACCAATAAGAGCGGGTTGTCGTGCACGACTCTGTCATCAACACCCCCTATCCAAAAGGTAGCGTAGAAGGGTGGTTGCTTACTTTCAAATTCAGCAACATCCCGGAGGTCAGGAGCGGGCATCAGCCGGTGGCCCTTGCAGAGGCCAAGCTCTGGCACAGGCTGGATCAGCGCTCGTCCCCTACGTGTCTTGTTATACTGCAACAGGGTGAATACTCGTGACTGGGCGGCTTTGTTGTTGATTTGCACAACCTTGCAAGGGTGTGATGAACAAGGCCAACAAAAGTTTGGGGGACAATTGCAAAACAGACCCAAAGAAATTCCACACATAAGCCTGGATGCTTTCTTCCGAGCCCTGATGTCTTCCATGTATTCTTCGTTGGTGTAGATGTGAAAAGGAAACTCTGTTGATGTGATGCCGTGCAGGGTCTGGTTGGATGTCATCTCGGACTGGCTCGCCAAGCACATTGGACACGGATGAGTCTTGTGACTCCAGTAACGAAGCCCGAAAATTTGCAAAAACGCCGGCCAATCCCCGCAGATATCCAAGACTGCAAAAGGCGCTGGTCTTGCAGCTTTGAAAGATCTTGCGCCCACACCAGGAGCAAAGGGTACAGCGTGCACCAACCCCGGCAGCCGCACTGACACATTTCGTCTTCGCCTTGTCAATGAACGTAACAGTTGGCAAAATATGTGGGTGGCAAAACTTGAATAGGGGACCGACTAAGGACCTGGCGCAAAAGAAAAGACAGGAACTTTTGCTCTGATAAAATATCCGTGATGTAGAAGCCCATGAAGTTGTCATTGATAGAATACTGCACCCCATCCCAATACAAAGACAAAGGTCTGACCAGTGTTCCGGGATTCTCTCGTGCGGCCCTTTGCACCACTGGGTGGGACCTGTAGCACTCTAAGCCCCGCAGAGTTGCATCACTCATCTCAGTAGATTGACTGACCTCGGCCGTGACAAACTCCGTCAACGCGGTTGAAGGCAAAAGGACAGGGACTTGTTCTACAGACCTTCGGGCATCTCGCTTGAGAAACATGGGTGCGTCAACGTATACCAGGTCAGGGTCAGGGTAAATCTTCCCAGCACGAAGACGGATGTGTTCATGCCCATGCTTTGATGCAGTCTCCGGCCGCAAGGCCAAATCGGAAACTCCCACCGCCCCAGCTTCTGTCATGTAGTGGCACATTGTTGCAACATCGCACCCCGTCATACCTTGAGTTGCCCATTTGTCCAAGATGTGTGCCCTGAGATTTTCCCCAGCTACTCGTTGGGCATCATTGACGTGTGTGTCACCACATGCCTCCAGGGTTCTTGCACGTTTAAACATGCGAAGCAAAGGGAAGAGGTGAACTGGGACTTGGGCCCAAAAGCAAATTGGGATTTCCAAGTCTGCCGCAAGGCCGATCAAGCTGGCAACATCACAGACTGCGGAGAGGCGGGCAGACTCGTGGTTTTCAACGAGCGGGCTGCCGGCTTTCCAGCATGAGTGGCACAGCTCTCTAGGATCACGTATGCTCATTGCAGCAAACCAGAGTTTCATGAGTGTGTGCAAACCAAAAGCTTTGCGTTCTCTAATCCTGAACTATTTGAATCCTAGTCGCTGCAATTCCCACGAGATCCGACTCTAGAATCTAAACTTTCCTCGCGCGTTTCGAAGCGGGTGCAGAGTTGGCCGTGTTCATGGCGCTCATCATGCTGCTGACCCGGGTGGCAACTGCGTCCATCCTGGGCAAGATGGGGGGGGGGGGGGGTTGGAGATACACAAGGAACAAATATAGGGGTGTGTAAACACAAATATTTTCCGAGCAGTGCAAAACACAACGATATTTCCGCATCTGACGGAAACGTTGCAGACACGTGCCAACGAAATGTGTTTCCCACAAAAACGGGAACATTCACATGTAGCAAACACACTGGTTAAACTGCGTCTGCAGGCGGAAGGCTGGAAGCAAATCCTGCCACACCGGTCGTTGAACAAGGTCAGCATGTTGTGGTACTTGTCACCCCATGTCTTCTTGATCGTCTTCATCGCAGCCGGGGAGAGCGCCGCGAGCTTGAGCTCGTTGACAAAAGCAAGAAGATCTTCCCCGTCGTCAGGCTGCAGAGCGTCCTTGAAGTTCTTCGCCAAGCCCGCGTACTCCTCCAGGAAGCTCTTCGTCCATGCGTACTCAGATGGGATGTCTGCCCCCGTCCCGCACACGTTCTCCATCAGGCTCTGAGATCTCTGAGCCTTCATCAAAGACTCCCGCGCCTCCTTCTCCAGGTCCTTCGTGTCAGGCCCCTCCTTCTTCGCCTTGCCACCGCCGCGCTTCGAGTTTGGCTTCGCCTTCGCTTTCCCCTTCGCCTTTGCCTTGGGGCCTGGTGGGTCCAGCTCATCCTGCGGAGCTCCCTCGATCGGCATGACTGGGTTGGCAGAGTGTCTCGCGCCCTCGTTGATGCCCGGAACCACCACGTTCATGTCCGCCCAGCCCTGGATGCCGTGCGAGCTCTTCTCCACCTTCTCCATGTCCACCGCCTCGTAGGAGATGCCATGCACCACCGCGTACTTCCTGCAAGCCTTAGCCCGATAGCTCTCCAACGCGTACGTGGCGCTGTTGTCCACACTCTCCGCGACCTCCCGCCACGCCTCCTCCGACGTCTGGGAGACCAACTTCTCCACGAGCAAAAAGTTGTCCGCCTCGGTCCACGCGTTGTAGCGAGTGAAGGTCTCGCAAGGGAGCAAGAAGTTTAGACGCTTCATGGCCCTGAACTTGAACATAACCCAAGTTTGGAAACACTGTCCGGCCACTTCTTGCAGTTCTTGATGTAGTTGCTCGCCTGCCGCTGGGCCTCCGGAATCCCGACTCCTCCGTAGTACTGCTCCAGCTGGAGCTCGTTCTTCCATGAGCCCAGCTCCTGGTTCGATGTCACCATGCTGATGGACCTGATGCGCTTCTTGGAGATGAACTCAAAGTTGCGCTGCAAAGCCCACGTCTGTCTGAAGCGCAGCTTCAAGTCATCAGACAGCCACTTGTATGTCTCCCGCGCTGCCGGATGCTTGTCAAACTGGCGGTACATGGCATTCCCGATCGGCTGGCCTTCGCGTCCAGCCCCATGCAGGCCCACCCGTCAAGCCCCTCCTCACTCTCCTCCATCATCTTCTCCGTGACCAAAGCCTTGTCGACTCCGTGATGCGTCGCATACTGCTCTCGCGCCCGCTCAAAATTTGGCTGCTCCTGCAACCCAGATGTGACATGGATCAGTTTGCCCTTGCTCACTGGTTTCTCCTCTTCTCGTTAAAAGGGTTATATACCGAGCAAACGATGTGGAGAGGAAATGGGGATCCTAGTTCATTCTCCTTTAGCCAGCTTAGAACCTAGACAGGTTTTTTGGGACTCTCCCGCTCCTTCTTGTGGCTGGCAGGCTCATCGTCGTTGGGCACCTCCACAAGCTTCGGTGGCTCTACGGGAGGCGAGGGCTGGGCTGGCGGGATTGCCTCGCTCTGGGTTGTCTCGATCTCCACTCGGCCGGCTTCCTCTGGCTGAGTCTCTGCCATGGGCAAGGTCTCGTCCAAATCACACATGTAAAGGCAGAAAAGGTGAAAAACGCACGATCTTGGACAAGTTTGAGCAATTGAAAAATGGCAATTTTGGCATTGTGGGCTCACCGGAGGCTCATCACTTTTCTTCGAACCCTCACCGGGAGCTCATCGGCCTGTTCTTTATGGTAGGGCCTTGAATTTTGGCATGTTTAACGGAGGCTCACCGGGGCCTCACTGGTCTTTAGGCTTTAGGCTCACCGGTTGCTCATCGAGTAAAATTGGCGGGCTCATTGGAGGCTCACCGGTTTATGTTGGAGGCTCATCGGAGGCTCATCGCTCGACTTAAGAAGGGAACCAAATCTACAAGGGGCAAAAAGTAGGGGGCCTCATCGGAGGCTCATCGGCCAAACTGCTGGGGGACTCATCGGAGGCTCATCAATCTGGTTTTGGCAGCCTCTCTTCATGTTTTTTGCAAGATGTGGCTTCAACCCCATACTGTGGGAATCGTTCCAGCTCCGCCCCAAGATAGGGCGTTCCACAACGCAAGCTTAACGCGTGTGCTTGGGATCCAGACTTACATATGTGACAAGTTCCTCCTGTTTTAGGGAATGCTTTTGACACCGCATGGATCTGGAAGTTGAACGAAAGCTGTTTTTTCGGGTCCCCCAACTCCTTCTCAAAGTGTAAACACGTTGCCCCCGCTGTATTCTTGCACCCTGTGGAGGGAGGGGAGGGCTGAAGGGCTGTCACCCCTTAAAGGAGAATCAAGCCCTGCCGCGAAAGGTTTTTGCTGGGCGTCGAGCAAAGCACAACGTCAGCCAGCTCAGACCCGGCCTTGGGCGGTGGGACTCAGGAAGCCGGCTTCCTTGTGGTTTGCCCCAAAGCGTTTTAGCGCCCCCCGGAAAATTGTGGCCATTGGCTCCCCCCGGCCAAAAAAATGAGAGCCCTTAGCGGAAGCCTGCTTTCGCCAAACAAGAATGCCGCCCAAAACGGCAACCGTTTTTGTCAAAAATGAATCCCTGCCAGCGCTTCTGGGATGGCTTTGACGGACGTCCAAAACAGACCCCATTTTTTTGGTTCAGTCGTGGTTTGCAAACCTTCCAGACGGACACCTCCTTCTATGCTGGAACTTTGCGCCCTCCCCCAAAACAAGGTGCAAAGAAGACACCTGCTTGCAATTTTACACGGAGCCTTTTTGCAGAAGTTGCGTGTGGGGAGCTATCTTGCGGCGGCCTTGCTGTGTTGGGGCCATCATCTTGTCGAGGTTTGGGGTCTCAGTGCCTGTCCCTTAGAGAGGGTTCCCATTTTTGCAAGGGTTCCTAAGTCTTGTCTGAAAAACTCAAGCTCTTCTAAAATGTTTGAAGGACGAAAAGTGCTGAGACACGGGGGCAAACGGCCAGAAAGGGTCAGAAGCGGGGTGTTCACCAAAGAAGGTCAGAGCTTGGCGTTTCCCAAAATGCGAATTGATCCTCTTCGCTTTTGCAGTTCATCGGGGGGTGGAGAGCTGTTTAGAGACGCCGCCGAAGGGGTCCTTGTCCGAAACTGCTCGCAGGCGGCCGAGCCTTCGCTGCGAGTCTGTCACAGCCCCCAGCCTTGGGCGTGGGCGGGCCGAGGATTGCGGAAATAGGGGAGGGATGAACTTGGTCAGAGATCGTCTCTAGCCAGGCAAAAGCTCCAAACAAGTCTTTGGGCCGGAGGTTTAATTCCACCAGCTTCTCAAGGCAAAAATGGACAACTAAGCTCAGATGCAAACGCCCTGAAAGGATCCATTTGCGGTTAACCTTCGTTCCTCACCCCACGCACTGTTTGCTGTCGAAGGCAACGTAAACTGGTGACAGCTCTGTTTGGCACACGCTCAAACGGCTATAAACTGTAAACCAGTGCGCGCTTGACTGGCTCGGTTCCTGGCGCACCCAACTGCCAACCCCGCGTTGCCAGCGTTGACAAGCCTGGCGAAAGCTGCAACAATAGCTGCAACGCTTCCACTGCTGGAATAAAAAAGGCAGATCCAAGACAAGCCCAGCCTTGGCACATCCAGTTGGTTGCAACCCCCCAAGCGCCAGCGTTCGCCGACCTAACGGGGAGAATCCACGGTTCAGCATGCGAGCGTGAAGGATGGCCCACACCTTTGGAGTGACTTTGCAAAACCTGGAAATGACTTCCAACGTTCAGGCCAGACGCGGTTTGGACAGACCTTTTTTTTGGGTAGTTAGTTGCCGAACAATCGCGATGTTGCAGCGTTTGGAAACGCGTTTTGACTCCGAAACAACCCTTTTCAAGGGTCCCGATTTGGCCCCCCCAAGCCCTACTTTGGCCCCCCCAAAACCTTACTTTGGGGGGCCCAAACGCGGGTTTGCTGCCCCCCGAAACAGCCCTTTTCAAGGGTCCCGATTTGGCCCCCCCAAGCCCTACTTTGGCCCCCCCAAAACCCTACTTTGGGGGGCCCAAACGCGGGTTTGCTGCCCCAACCGAAAACTGTTTGCTGAGGTGGGGAAGTCGCTGACTGAATTGTGGCCCTGGCCGGCACCAGCGCGAACAGGCCTTGGAGATGGATGCACTCTAAAAAGCCACCATCACGTTCTGGTGTGTCCAAAACCTGTTTGCTGAGGCGGTCCAACAAGTTTTTAACCTTGTTGAGGGTCTTGTCATAAAGTATGGATTGTTTGAACTTCCTCCAAAATGCTCGTTTGAAGGGATGGTCAACTTCCGAAATGCTTCTTTGGACGAACCGCGCAAGACCAAGTCTGGTCACCGCTGGAAAATTCAGATTTTGGGGTTGGACTTGTTGGTAAAAAAACCCAGACATCTTTCCCCATACCGTGGCCCCAAGTCAAGGCAACAGGCCACTGCTTGTAGCAACATGGCTCCAGCTCTGAAATTGAAACGTGGGTCAATCCAACCTTAGATGTGGCAACATTGCGCCGGCCAGAAAATGAAGCCGCGACTGAACATGAAGAAGCAACCCAGGCCCCCGATTCAATGCAGGTTGCTTCCTACTAAAGGAAACAGGCAACACTGAGTTCCACCATCCTGGAAGCTTTGAGGAGGACAGCCTTTTTGGATGTGGCAGTGCTGAGTCACGGGCTTCTCGTCAAGGATCTTCTGGTTTCGGTTCATCTTGTTGGTCTGCACCTGTGCAACGCGCCCCCCGCACCCACTCCCCCCATCCCATATCTCCCCTCGATCCCTACTTCCAGGATGCGTTTCCCACTTGCCCCCAACCACCCAAAACCCCGCGCCCTTGCAACAGTTCAGAATTGCTCCGCCTCCTGCGTCCTGCTCTGCCTGCAGGATCTCCAAGATGCTGGGATCTGGCTGCACGCCGTACGCCGGGTGCACAGTGACACCTGGGCCAGGGTGCAATCCAGTTAGAAATTTCCAGATGTTGGTCAAACTCCAAAAGAGGAGTCGCGCATCCTGCCAAAAGCAGCATGGGGCTAAAAACCCGACGAGCCCTCCCCGAATTGTTTTTTTTTGGCGGGGGGGGGGGGTCTAGGTGGGGGTTCCGTGTTTGGTACGAGTCCTTTATTTGGCGGTTTGTGAATGGGGTGTGGCTTGTTCCTCCGAAATATTGGGGTTGTGCCTGCGATCTAAGTGACGCGCTCAGCTAATTACTTTTGGCCCTAATAATCCAGACTGCGTTTGGGGACTTTAAGGCTAGTGGCTTTCCAGGAAGACAAGCAAGTTGCCGGAGGCCGCCTGCTCCGTTAGCTCATCCCGTCTTCTCCGCAAATCCTCCTTCCCCAGCGTCCCCAGCGTGTGCTCTGCGCCAACGACCAGCATCACGATCATAGCGTGCAGCGCGCTCAGCTTGCCCGCTGCCACTACCAACTGTAGCGTTTGTTGCCACCCCGCCTTCTCCATCGACTTCTCCATCATCGAGATAATCGAGTTCCGCCCCTTCTGAAGTTTAAGGGCCACCTTGACCTCGCGCTCCTTGCCCTCCTCCTTGCACACGAAGGTGCTGCCACTCATGATCTCTGCCTCCTTGGACGTGGGCTCCTTCTCCGGCGGGTTTTTGGCGGGCGCCTGCTTGACCTTGACGGGCGCCTCCTTGACCTTGACGGGCTTCACCTTGACGGGCGCGCGTGGCGCCGGGTTCTTCTGCGTCATTGTCTGGAGGTCCTCCTGCGCGTGGTACGGCGCGATGCACTTGCACTACTTGGAAAAGGGAAGCGCAAAACCAAAACGCACGAGCCGCAACTAAAAGATCCTGGCCTGACAGATGTGAGAGACCGTGTACGCACAGCCGTCCGGCCATAGACAGGTGATTGGATCCAGGCCATCTGCCTCAGGATTGAAGACTGGCGGCAGGGAAAGCTCCAGTGGCCCGCGCTGCTTGGGGCCAAGGACACGCCGCCTCCAGGCGCACCTGTGGTCCTGCGCCCAACCGTAGTCATACTTGACCGCTGCCGCTGCTTTGGCCACGTCGCCTCCGCTTGCCGCAGTGGCTGGCGCGCCTTGAGGTCTCACACCAGCTCCTGCAGGGTGAAGCCACAAACCGCTGAGGCAGTCAGTACGTTCTGTCAGCAACTCCCCTGTCCTTCAGGACACATTGGAACCAGCATGAAGGCAGTAACGCTCGCGCAAGGCGGGCACTGGAAGTCATCCTGATAAGCCGTTCAAATTCTGACAAAAGAAGAAAACGCAAAGAGTTGCAAAAGGTTGCAATAGCGAGCTGAGATGCAGCAAAAAGGTCAAAGCCAGGTGCGTAGGAAGGGGCCTTGGCCTTCGGAGGCGGGCCAGCCTTTGGCTCCGCCGGCTTGGAGCTTGAGCTGCCTTTCTCCTTGCTCGCCACAAACTTGACCGTCTTGGCCTTCGCGTTCGGCTTGGCCTTGCCTTTCGGCTTGACTGGCGTCACCAGCTCGTCCTTCACCTTGCCCTTCGCCTTTGCAGGTGCGACGCTCTCCCCGGAAGTAGGTGCAGGAGTGACGCTCTCTCCGGTAGTGGCTTGCGCCTTGCTCTTCGAGGCTGTCCGCCTGTTCTGCTCCACGTCTGCCAGGTTTGTGTACTTATGCGAGCGCTTCAGCTTCTTGGGCGGCGGCTCCTGTTGCTCGTCCGGCTCCTTCGGATTCGGCTCCTGCTCGTGCTCGTCGATCATCTGACCAATCTTTTCGGAGAGGGAGTCGTCGTTCTTTGCGCCCTTGCCCTTGACGTCGTCGCAGGACTCTGATGCTGACGAGGTGTCTGATGAGCTCTCGGCGTCAGACTCTTCAGAATCCTTCTGGGTCTCCACTGGCTGCAAATTCTCCGCCTCACTCTCCTCCTTCGTGTATGCTGGCAAGCGCTTCGTAGGCTTTGGCCTTGTCCACATGTCCTCAACCCGCTTTCGGGATAGGAAGTTCAAACCCGTGCCAATGAGGATTGAAGGGGCCCCGAAAAAAAAAGAGAGCTCAGGCTTGCAGGCGGGATCTGTTGAAGGCTGCAACGCGGCAGCCATTGGAATGGCGCCACAGCCAGAATTGCCCTCTAAAGAACATGAGTTGCGCGTTTCGGTTTTGGCTGCGAATTGTGCAATTTGTGATCTGTTTGGGGTTGATGCTGGAGGCTGCAAGGAACCCTACAAAACTCAATAAGCTCAAGCTTGGCTAGAAATACGCATTTTCTCCAGTTCAAAACTGCTCAGTCCTGGGGCAGCCACTTGCGGCAGTTCAGAGCTTCTTGGGACACGTGGCGGAACATTGCCTGCAGTTTGATTGCACGCGCCGCTGCCCAGTTGTCGGCTTCTTTGCTGCCACCATCTTTGGGGAACCACTGCTGCTCCTGCGCACGTGATCAAACGGGATTGTTGAATGTGGGGCCCTGTCAAAATTAGAAACATGTGGTGTCCGTTACAGCTGCGTGGACCTACCAAACAAATTTGGAACAACTGTGTCCTCATTGATTCCCATCAAAGCCGAGTGGATTGTCTTGGGGCAGAAATTCCAAGTGCGGTCCACCTTCTGGATGCGCTGCAAATGGGGCAAGTAGGCGGTCATCTTGGTCACATCTTTCTGCTTGATGCACCTGGTACTGAAAACGGCTTACATCATAGCATTCAGGGTTTTGTTGGTTTTTGGGCTGACACACCCCCCCTTCCAAAAAACAAATGTTTTGCAAACGAAGGCTCCGATCATGGGTGTAGGCTACAAAGTTCACGGAGGTCACCCAAGGCCGAAGAGACTCCTGGAGCCCCTCAATGTTTGTGCAGCTCCGCCTGCGTTCCTTCACGGAGCCCTTTCCCATGGCTATAAACCCTCCAACCTACAGATCTCCGTGACCATATGAAACTTCCAAACTGCCCTTTTTTTTGACCTGTTGGCCCCCAGTCTGACACCCCTCTGGCGCGCTTGCACTTGACCACCAGCCGCCCTCTGAGGTTTGAACCACGGCGACGCGACTGGTCGCTGCAGAAAAAAAATCCGAGTTTCAACGGGAACTTGAACTGGCGCTTTGTGGCAATCCCAGGCAATTGTGTAAAGAGAAGCTGCTCAGAAAAACAGACATTCTGGAGAATGCGCGATGTCTTTGCCAATGTGCAAAGCTACATCATTAAAGGAAAACGTCATGAAGGGTAAACAACACTCCTGGTCCAAATCTGGGCGCTAGACCTGGTTTGTTTTGAGGGGATGGTCAAGGGAACCACGTCACTTCACAGCCCAATGTGCTTTGAACGCCGTTGCCAAATACAAATGAAAGCAACTCTCTTGATCCACAGCTAGCTCCAGTTTTCGGGCAACCCTCCACATAAGAAACATTACTGCGCCCAATCCAAACTTCGTCCCTTTCTCCTTTCAACATCCAAAGTAGCCAAAGGGGTCTGTTCTTTCTTGGGAGCCCTGTGCAGTTTCTTTCAAAAAACCATTGTCTTGGTCCAGACCCGAGTGCTAGACGCAAGCGCTTGCAAAAAGTAAAGCGACCGGCTATTGAGAATAAATCCAGAGTGCCCAAAAAGGGGGCCCTGCTCGAAGGAGTCACCTGTCTTAGGGGGCTCAAAGCTGCAGCTACATAGCCACTTCTTCTGCACCAAAAAACGCTTTGCGCCAAAAAACGCTTAGCACGAAGATGGAGGCTGGCAGCCCTGCAAACAAAATGAATTCATTTGGGTTTCTCTAGCCTCCAAAGAGCGGCGACACCTGAAAAACACACGCAAGCCTCACAAAGAGCGGTGCCTTTGAAAACCACACACCCGGCTTCCCTTTTGAAAGCTGCTGCAGGCCCCCAAAACTAGATCCACCCTTTGAAACAAACGCGCTTGCCCAAGTTTGGGTGTTGTCTTTGTGCAAAACCTCCCTTTTTACGTGATGAAGGCCCCTGTCAAATAAAAGGACGACACAAATTTAAGCTATGTAATTCACTCCCCTAAAGAAAAAGGGACAGCACCCTTGGAAAAACACAAAACACAACATTGTGTTTGCAGTGCGTTCTTTTCCCACTTTCAGGGTCTGGGTCACGTGTTCTGGCCTTTCATAGCGTGAGTTCTGACTGCTCGCACACCCTATAAGCCAAACTGGGGCTGGGTGCGTTGCGTAGGGAACATAAGGACGCATGTGTTGCGGGGCGGTTGCAGGCAGACTGCTAGCAGCGCTAAAATCATGTTGCTGCGGACAAACCAGTGAGCGCATGCCCACTCGAGCAGCATTAAATTCCAGAGCGCGTGCATCCAAGTAGCTCCAATTTTTGGATGCAGTTTTGTCACATCCATTTTTTGGATGCGATCAGGGGTGTGGGTGAAGAGCAACGGGCGAGCGCACGCGCCGGTGCAGCGCAAAAAAGGTGGCACAGTGACACCTGCCCAGAGGGCGGAGCTCAAAAGTTCTAAAAGCATTTGCGCCAGCGGAAGGCTACTGTCAGTGAATGCTTTGCCAGAAAGCCCGCCCACGCAACAGCAAGAGAGTGACCGCCGGAAAAATGAGCGAAGGCGGCAAGCCAGCAGCATCCGCTCAGTTGCAAGGCCCCGGTTAGAAGCGGATGGGCGTGCGGAAGACATTTGAGACGCTGCAGTAGCAGCCGGCACCACGTGGTTGGCAGCCAGGCCTTGCCAGCCGCAGTCCACTGTGCCTTGGAGACGAAGAATGCGTGTGTGGATGGCCTAGTTGTCCTACGCGAGGTTCGCTTCCGGCGTGCAAATGATCAGCCCGGCTGCTGCTTTGTGTGCTCGACCCCAGAGCTGCTGCGCGTGCTGGAACGGCTTTCGTGAAGCTGGCAACAGACGCTACCTTCAAGGACTTGTTCGGGGACTGGATGCTCGTACCAACACTCCTTGCGCTTGTCCGCCTGGGCTACTCACGCTACGCCGGTCCTCTACGGAGTGACCAACTCAGAGGCGCATGAGACGTACGAGGCGTTGCTAGAAGCCTTTGACTGTCTCATGGACATGGTCTCAGAGGAGTCCACAAGAGTGTGCCCCCGGCAAGATGCGAGGGCCAGGCGACCCAAACGCAGCCGGCAGCGCGGGGTGGAGCGGGTAACTGGCGGGTAAGGCAACTGCACAGCGACTGGCATCGGGCCATCAACATTGCCCGCCAAAAGCTCCTACCCAGAACGTCAAGGGGACTTTCGGCACATGCTAGCTGAGCTACACAAAAAAACTGGGAAATGTGTTGCAGCCGGCAAGGAGCGCCCAAAACTTTGTGCAGCGGTTGCTCGAAATCTTCGCTCGCACTTTCTGCACCACACTGACAGAGTTCCATCTGTTTTGGTCTTTAGTGTTTGCAGACTTAGAGAGCCGTCGGGAGACCGACTTGCTGCAATACTTGCGCAGTGATTCCGGGTACCAGGACCGTTCCAAGCGCACGCAGCAGGTGCTTTGTGGTGCGTGGTGGACTGCCTACTGCCGCGCACAGCCAGGTTCGGCCGCAGGCACGCAGCCGGTGGAGGCCAGCCACCTGCACGGCTTTCGAGAGGCGCTTGTGGACGAGGAAGGCGGTCGACTGCACCACTTGCCACCAGGGCGCTTCTTCGAGCGTTTCAGCGCAGTTCTTCAGACGCAGGGCCGGCAACTGCGAAAGCACAAGCGGCCGCTGGCAGACCACCCAAATGGCCGTGACCCGACATCCTTGTCATCTGCTCGCTTGCGGAACCTAGACAGGAGCAGCGCAGTGGAGCTGCACAGCCAAAAGAACCTCATTCACAAAATCCAGCTCGCTGAAGCCTCCACAGCACTAGCCACAGAAACCGACTTGGCCGAATTGCAGTCTTTGTGGCGGCCGGCATTATCACAAACCTGGGCGGGCGAGATAGACTCTGTTGGGACTGCTGGGTTGCATTGCGTCACACTCATGTGGTAGTGCTTGCCGGAAAAATGGCAGCACGGCACTGGCTGGTGCCAAACGCTACAAGCAGCCTCAACCTGTGCCCGTGCAATTACTTTGCCATCGCAGGGCGGTGTGATCACGAGCAGTGCGGCCACGCAATCTTGGGCACCGGCAGCATTGACCTCGCGGTTGTCGGGCGACAGCCCGGACGGCCGGCGCCGTGGCCTTGCCAAGAGGCACATGTGCTGCTGCCGTGTGGCAGGCGCAGGTCAAAGCGGAAGAGAAGAAAGCTGCTGCTCAGCAAGCCTTGCGGATGCACCGCGGGTACTTGCCGTGCCCGCCAAGCCAGGTGACGCCGGGGGCACAACACTTGAGTGATCACCCTGCGTCAAAGACCTCCCGCCAGTGCGGCGCAGCGCGGCCTCGCGGCCCGTCACTGCAAGCCACAGACTTTGAAAAGAGACCATACTGAATGGCCGCCACTTGCCACCACGAGCCAAGATCTACTTCAACCACAGTGGCCAAGCCAGGGCCTGAGCGTGGGAAGTCTGCGTCTCTCCTTGGTGCCTGCGGCAGGTGTGGATGGGCCGACACGACGGCAAGCATGTGCGGGGTGCGAATGCGCCTGTAAAACTCCACGGCGCGGACCTCATGCGCTTTGTGAAGCTGGAAGAGGTTGGGGGACGCGCAACACTTGTGCAGCTTAGGTACGGATGAGGCCGCCATCGAGCACGTGTTTGCTGTCATTGAGAAAGCCGTAGGCGTGGACATGGGAACAAGTCACAACTCTGGCGACCGAGGGCAAGCGGGCCTTGTGCCGTAGCGTGGCAGAATGGCAGGGCGCTTGCAAATCAGTGGTGAAACGCAAGTGCAGAACATCCTTGCTCTTGGCTGCGCGACCAGCGCCGAGGCTGTGAAGGGCTGAGGAGGCCGGTGCGTGAGTGCGGTGTGGACCGGTAGGTCCAGCCTGCGACCGTGCTGCGAGGCCGGGAAACAAAGCTGTGGACACGAAGCGCAAGGGAATGCTCTGTGTTCTCAGACAGGTTGACCTTCATGCAATCTCATTACTTTGGCAACTGACTTCAAAGCCTTCTAGCGCGGCGGCAGACAGGACTGAGAGTCAAGACAAGATGTATCCCAATGCCGGGGGTATCTTATCCCCAAAGGGAACCAATGCCTTGTGGTAGAAGAGGATCTATGTTTG